GCTCTTGTTACCCAGGCTGGAGTACAATGGCGCGATCTCGGCTCACCGCAACCTCCGCCTCCTGGGTTCAGGCAATTCTCCTGCCTCAGCCTCCTGAGTAGCTGGGATTACAGGCACGCGCCACCATGCCCAGCTAATTGCGGTGGCTCACGCCTGTAATCCCAGCACTTTGGGAGGCCGAGGCGGGTGGATCACGAGGTCAAGAGATCGAGACCATCCTGGTCAACATGGTGAAACCCCGTCTCTACTAAAAACTACACAATATTATTTACAGGTAGGGAAACTGAGGTTCAGAAAGGTGAAGTGATTTTAAGGTCACATAACTACTAGGTAGCAGCGCGGAATGCAAAGCCTTGAACCCTTCAATCATCAATTTCATGTTCCTTCTCTGCTTCTATGAGGAGTTCAGACTCTCTTGTCAATGGATAAATATCAAGAATCCTATGGATTTGGCAGCAAAGCTATAAAGTCTGGATTAGCAGAGTCTGATGATCTCTGTGTGCTGCTCAGACTTCTTCATCAATAAACAATCATCAGGTGGGTTGGTTAAGTAAACAAGAGAACACTGGGCAGAGAGTACAAATCAATGTGTAGGTCTTTATTCATTTAGAGGGAAGTGTGGCATCAACATGCTGTGAAGTGAAAAAAGGTCATGAATAATCATATATGGCATAAGCTCCTTCATGTAAACTGTGGACGTTAGGAGTTTGTATATGCAAGAGAAGTGTATGGAAAAATGGCCAACAAGCTGCTGCAAGTGGTTATCTCCGTGTGGTAGAACCTGGGGATTCTTTCACATCAAGAATAATTTTTAAAGAATTAATACAGTTATTTTAAAAGCATGTCCATGTGTAAATAAATGATAACTCAGGACAAGAATAAAAATAAGGCCCATAGTAAAGAGTGCTAAGAATTGGATGCAAATAGGGAAGAAAAAATTTACGCAATTAACAGAGTGACCACACAGTGCTCACAACAGATTTTTATCTCCAAATTAAGGGGATCTGGTAATCCTTTTATTTCCAAGTTCACTCAATTGGTCTGCAAAGATTGTGATTAGAAAATATTTTCCTGAACACATAGTAGATAAGGGGGAAGCTGGAACCATAGAATGTAGTGGCCTATCAGACTCTAATACAAGTGGGGGGACAGGGGTTGAATGCACTCTACCTAAGCAATTTTTTGAGATAACAGTAAACCCAATGGCAGTGGGCTTCGGTCTTCTCTACTGCGCTGGAGATGTCAGGACTAAGACCTCACTAGAGCAGTAGTTGCAAATGGGAAATGAGATGTGGAGAATGACTGATGACCAATTCCCACATCCGCCTTCCTGGAGTTCCCTGAATTGGGGCATACCAGTGTGTATCACCTTTCTCAAAGCCCATAAAGTGGCTGCTCCCTGTCCACACGCATCTACCTCCCAGGTTCTCATCTACGCCCTCTGACTCCAACCCGTGCACTGTTGTCTCCTTAACCTCTGGCCACCCACCACTCTTCCCTAACTTCCAAGGGGCACACTATAGCATACAACAAACACTATCATTTGAATCAAACTTTACAGATCCCAAGTGAATTCACATATGATCTCAGTTCATCTCCAGAATGATCAACTAAACAAGACAGAAGAAAACAAAGACTCTTACCAATTACCACTTAAGACTTTTTCCCATCCACCTTCCTACACATTCGCTCCCTGCTTTCAGCACCCATCTTTCCCCAACAACCTGCAACACTTCCCACTTTCCCACTAGCAGCAGCTTCCTTCAACCCAGTCTTTTGAGCAGGATATCTGGGTTTTTTTAATCTCCTATCAAAATATATCCCAGTTGAGACCCATCAGTAAATTTTGGGGCATTAGACCCTAGGGTCCCTAATGGAAAACCTTCTTGAATCATTTGCAACCCTAGTGTAAACAGCAGGTATGCAAAGCAACACAGCAAAGTGGTGAGGAGCTCAGGTTCCAAGTCAGATTGCCCAGATTTGAAGTAAAGTTCTTCCAGTTCCTAATCAGGAAACTCTGTGCTTCAGTTTCCTCATCAGTAAAGTGGAGATGATAACAATATCCACCTCACAGGCATATTAAGAGAATTAAATGAGTCTATTCGTGCGACATGCTTAGTGAAATGCCTGGCACATTGTCAGTGCTCAATAGATATTAACTATTATCATAATGATAAATATTCTGAAAATTTCTCTCCTATGTAAGGTTCTGATTAATAATCAATAGCATTTGCTGCTGCTGCCAGATATTGAAAGATGTTTAGAGCACATAAAGGAACCTCTCTAAACATATCTGACAAGGTGCTGGGCTTCCTCTGAGGGAAGATTGTCTAGCTTGGCTGGTAGCATGACATTTTACACTTCTGGGTCCTCTTACACCTGGCATTTTAAAAGGCCAACTAAAAACATGAAAACAGGCAGCTAGAACATGGGCGAGTGGGGGGATGTGCATAGAGATTAAATGAAAGCCAAGTAATTCAATTTCATACCTTTATGTCAAAAAATATTAGTGTCCTATTAATGGCTGACTGAAGGTAGAGGATGGCAAAGCTGTTCTTTAGAGTCTAGGGAATAGCATTGTCATTAGTTTGCCAACATTAAATTTTGTCTGTGAAGTTAGTAGCGAATTGAAGAGACAACATGGGTGGGTAAAAATAAATTTGCCTTCCTGCCAACATCGGCCATAAGCTACTGCCATACTGATTAGGATCAGAGGTTCCAAATTGGGCTTCCACGGAACATCTCAAACTCCCTAGAAGGGATTGAGCAGTCTGTGAATTCCCTTTCATATCAGGGTAGTGACATCAACCTGTCACTTTAGTGAGAAGGAGACAGGTTGAGGTCACTGTGATTGAGATTCTTATGCAGAATGGAAGTTAATGGCTCTGGATTTAATTCCCAACTGTCTCCTATGAACACCTTCTCAAGAACCATAATAAGAGCACTTGTTGAATCACTCAGTTAGGTTTCCAGTAACCTCCATACCACAGATTTCA